GTGAGACTCTGCCTCAAAAAAAAAAGAAAGAAAGAAATTGAAGTAAAGGAAATGACAGATGTATAAAGCCAGTAAAAATTATTGAAAGTGTTAAGAGTCAGTCAGCATGTTCTAATTTGGAATCTAGCTATAACTTAGATTTCCTATTGGCTTAGAGAATTTGTAAAGAATGAAGTGCAATGATAATTACATATTCCTACTTGGTCATACTAGACTGGCTTCATTCTCTTAAAATACTCAAGCATCTGGCTATTAATATATACCCTAGTTGCCATTTTTTAATTGCCATGGGCCAAATATTTCTTCTATACAATTGATCCATTCATTTTAATGGCTGCCTTTCAATTTTCATCTTCCTTTTCTTGCTACTACCCATCTATGTATGTAGACAGAGAAAAAAAATTAGTCACATTTTTTGATGGAAAGACTTTGTGTTAAAATTTAACATTTTGAAGGTTTTTTAATTAGTGAGAGAAACTAGCCTGGAATAATGCTGCCAGAAACTGAGAGGAAATTGTCTCTTTTGAAGGTGCCATCCTTATGAGCCAAGAGTTTGGTGTTTAAAAGTTCATCTTCAGGGAATAACATGTGATATAATTTAAAATAAAGGTATATTAACCTTTAAAAGAGAATTATAACTGATAACACTGTGAACAGGGTGAATTTGTTAAATGAATAACTTTGATAAAGTTTTCATGCACAGGCAAAATGTATTCATTACATTTCTATATAGTGATCTGCTTTTAATTTGTAGTTCTCAAAAGGCCTTTTTTAAAAAAAAAAAAAAAAAGTCCTTCCTTATAGGAAAAAAAAGATAGGGACACTGGAAAGTGTGGTTGGGGGATGGGGCCAGGTGTTTGAGGTGTCTGTTGAGCGCCAATTAGAGACGTTCAGTCAGCAGTTGGATGTGTGGAACAGGAGCTCAGGAAAACCAGCTGGGAAAGAGAAAGTTGACTCAGAGGCACCGAGACCTAGGTGATAATTGGAGTCACCTGCAACCCTGAGAGTGGCTAGACAGCAAGGGTGGGGAGGACCCTATTTCTCATCTTATTTTCCCTAGTACTTGGCATTTTTATGTAGTCAACCTACTACCTCAATATGAATTATTTTGGAAGAAAAAGGAAACAAGATTAAGAGCGGGCTCTAACAAGTAGGCTTTTGCTTGTTTCATCCACAAGTCTTAAGTGTATCCCCCTCCAAAAAAGTCTTTTTTTTTTTGAGACAGAGTCTCGCTTTGTTGCCCACACTAGAGTGAGTGCTGTGGCATCAGCCTAGCTCACAGCAACTCAAACTCTGGGCTCAAACGATCCTACCACCTCAGCCTCCTAAGTAGCTGGGACTAACAGCATGTGCCAGGCATGCCTGGCTAATTTTTTCGGTATATATCTTAGTTGGCCAATTATATTCTTTCTATTTATAGTAGAAACGGGTCTCGCTCTTGTCAGGCTGGTTTCGAACTCCTGAGCAATCCTCGAGCAATCCTCCCCTCGGCCTCCCAGAGTGCTAGGATTACAGGCGTGGGCCACCGTGCCCGGCCCCAAAAAGTCTTAAATATACCTTCCTCTAGGTGTTTGGATTAGCAGAATGAGGCTGGGCTATAATTTAGGGCATAATCCTCTTCTTCTTCTTTTTGAGACAGGGTCTTGCTCTGTTGCCTGGGCTGGAGTGCAGTGGTGTCATCATAGCTCACTGCAGCCTCAAACTCCTGGGTGTTCCTCCTGCCTGAGCCACCTGGGTAGGTGGGATTACAGGTGCGCCACCCATGCCAGGCTAATTTTTCTATTTTTTGTAGAGTCAGGGTCTTGCTATGTTTCCCAGGCTGGTCTCGAGAACTCCTGGCTCAAGTAATCCACCTGCCTTGGCCTCCCAGAGTGCTAGGATTAGGGGGAGCCACCTCACCTGGTCATCTTCTTCTTCTAAGAAACTGATTTTCCATTAGTAGCATATATAAACATTAAAAAAATCATACATAAATTCAGGTTCTGACATAACCCCACTCACTCCAACACGTGCTGAAATGGTAGAATAAATATAAGCAAAGAGAGAAAAAAAAGAGATAAGTGGGCTCAAAAATAAGAAGAAATCTCTTTGGACCAGAAAAGGGATAAACATGCAAAATGGGAGTCAGGTTCTAGCCACCCACCTGCTCTGTTCTAGGACTAGAAGTACGCAATGGTGGCTGTGAGTTCACCTTTTCTACCATAATGGGAACTAAGAGTGTTTCATATGAGACCAGGGCCCAAATCCTGGCTTACACCTTGAAATAGGAGTCAGGCTGGGATGCTACCTTCACAGGCATCACCTCCTGACCAGGGACCCCTGAGCTGCTGACTGAATTGCTGATGGATCTGTGTTGCCATAGATACCACTTCTTGGGACACTGGACCATTTTGTTTCTGGACTGAGTTGCAGGTTGCAGGTGTAGAGTTAATTGAAAAACTTCTAGACTGTGAGAAGTAAGGATAAAGGAAGAGAGAGGGAGTAAAGAACCAGAAACAAAATCTCCCATTCACAATGAGCTTCAGACCAATATTCCAAACTATATAAATAAAACGAATGCTAAGAAAGATGGCAAAACAATCAACAATTAGGACATAAATTTACTTCAGATAATATTAATTGCATAGAAAATTTGACCAAGTCTTTAAATTAGGATGCTCACAAATAAATGACAATATCCATAAAAATACTAAATTATGAAACACAAACATGAAAATATGAAATAAAAATAGATGGATTATAAAAGAAACAATTAGAAATCCTAAAAATAAAAAAATGTAGTCACTTAAAAACAAAAGGAACAGATGGGCTGAACTTTAAACACAATCAGAGGAAAAATTAGGGAAATGGGAGAGTGCTGAAAAATTAATCTAACATAAATAATAGAGAGTCAAAGAGGTACAAATATAAAAGAGTAGATAAGAGGCACAGAGGACAGATCAAGAAACTCTATATCACATTGAATAGGAATTCCAAAAAAGGAGATTAGAGGGAAGAGAGGAGAAGCAATATTTGAAGATTTAGTAGCTGAACATTTTCCAATTTGCAAAAAGGCATTTAAGATTTCTTTGTTTTCTATACATTCATTCATTCATGCAACAAACACTTAATGAATACTTATATGTTACATTCTGGACTGAGAACGGGATACAAATTGAATGTAGTACAATCTTTTCCCTTGCTCAAGGGGTGCGCAGTTGGGGAGAGAGGTGGACTTCTTTAATCAAAATATAATGTAAGGTGGGCACAGTGGCTCATGCCTGTAATCCTAGTGCTTATGCCTGTAATTCTAGCACTCTGGGAAGCCAAGGCGGACAGATTGCTCAAGGTCAGGAGTTCAAAGCCAACCTGAGCAAGAGCGAGACCCCGTCTCTACTATAAATAGAAAGAAATTAATTGGCCAACTAATGTATATATAGAAAAAATTAGCTGGGCATGGTGGCACATGCCTGTAGTCCCAGCTACTCAGGAGGCTGAGGCAGTAGGATCGCTTGAGCCCAGGAGATTGAGGTTGCTGTGAGCTAGGCTGACGCCACGGCACTCACTCTAGGGTGGGCAACAAAGCGAGACTCTGTCTCAAAAAAAAACAACAAACAACTTCTGTGATAAAATAGTGGATTAAAGAATTAAGAAGGAGAAGTAACACTCTTGGGAAGACTGAAAAAAAGCTTCACAGAGGAGGTGACATTCAAGCTGGGTCTTTAAGGTGAGAGTTCCCTAGAGTGTCATTCTTCAGGAAGAAGAAACAAAGGTCAGGGTATATTTGATGGCTGCCAAGTGGTTCTGGATAGTTCTAGGTGGTTCTAGGTTCTAGAATACATGGAAAGAAAGTCTTTAAGATAAAAGTTAAAGGGACTGACTGAGGAAAGATTTTAATCCCCTTTTGAATATGGAAAACATTTACTGAAAGTTTGCTAAGGGCAGTAAGTAAATGCATAGAATGAAGAGATATACCATATTCATAAATGGGGTGATTCAGGATCATAAAGGTGGAGTCTCCTCCAAAATAAATTCAATGCAATGCTAATCAATATCCAAAGGAATTTTTAAAAATGAAACTTGATTGATTATAAAATTTGTATAAAAGAAGGACTAAAAATAGCCATGATGATTTTGAAAAGAATGGGAATGCATCCTACCAGCCATTTATGTTTCTCTAGTAAATTTTAACAATTAAAACATTATAAGAGTATTTCTGTCTTAAATGTTGAGAAGAATTCATTGTGATCAACTTTTATGGCAAGATTTGCAATAAGATGAGTGAATTTGCATTTTAAGACAATCACTTTGGCATTAGGGTAAGTGATAACCTGGGAGGGTAGGGGACCATAGTTGGGGTGACCTACTGGCTCCTTCAAAAGATGTGATAATAAATTCGGAGAACAGAAAATGAGGATAGTGAGAATGGAGAACGGTCTAGTTAGAAAAATACTTAGGAAAGAAGATCAACGGGCCTTGAAGTTTAGCTTCGTTGGAGGTAGGTGGGTTGGGCAGGAGGAGAGGGAAAGAGACGAATCAAGGGTAACTGTAAGGTGCCGTCCTGGGCCCAGGGCTGTATGGTGGGCCCTTCACCATTGATTTTAAGGCTCCCTGGGACAGACAACTACGTATCTAGAAAATAGCAATGGAGCTTGGGAGAGTTGAGGCAGAAATTTTAAGGAGTTGTTGAAGTAATAAAAATAAATGAATTTCCCTAGGCAGATCCAACAGGTGGAGAAGGGAAATGGAGTAGGTGCACGAGACTTTCTTCAGGAGACAATGCCTGTGTTGGTTCTCAAAGGATGGGGGCCTCACGGGGCGGCAGGGGTGGCAGGAGCAGCCCAGGTCAGAGGGTAGAGGCAGAAGCTAAGAGCAAACGGAAGGTGCCGATGCTGCAGAGGGCTGGGATGGGGCTGGGAAGTGACAGGAACCACCAAAGGGGGTGAGAAGGGAGGAAGGGCAAAGCGGAGAACCATTTCATGTTTCCATTGGCACGTGTGTAACGACAGATGGCCCCTCACCTTTGCACTTGTCACAGGTCGGGTGGCATCTCTCACAGGTCTGCGTGCTCTGCTCAGCATAGTAGTGATGGGGGCAGGTGCGATGGCACTCTCCCTTGGAGCGGAGCAGAAAGAAAAACGTATCGCAAGACAGGCAGTCTGTGGGCTGCGGGCCCCTGCACGTCTTGCAGCTCTTGTCGCATGTCTCACACCGGCTGGTGGCGTTGTCTGGGTAATATCTGAAACCGAGCGAAGAAGCAAAGATGGAATGCTAAGCTTTGCTCCTAAACTGGGTGTGGTGATAAAAACATGGTTAGTCAGACAGGGTTCATTTCCAAGCTGGGGACTTTAGCCTTTTTATGCATTAGATTAATTACTAATGATGCTAATGAATCTAATGATTCTCAGTTTTCTTTTCTGTAAATTGAGTATTGCAATCCCTCCTCTGTTATTTGTGAAAACTAAATTGGACAACACATATGAAAAGACCTAGTATTGACCTCACATAGTAGCACCTTAATAATTGTTAGTTACTACTTCCTTTTTTCTTCTGTATCCTGTAAATTCAAGCTTTGTGTCAAATGGGATCAGGGAATGGAAGACATTTTAAATGTACCATTGAGTGGTTCTTATTAATGTAATTTCTCAATTTAAAAAAAAATGTTGAAATAGGAGGTGACATGAGTGATGTTGGCCTTTACAAAATATGTTGAACTTTGAAAAGATTTTTGGAGGTTAAATATGGTAACAATAATCACCATTTATTAAACTTTTATTAATATGCCTTGTGGTACCCCAGGGACTTCCAAAACATTATTTCACCTTACTGAACTTGCAAATGAGTCACTAGAGCATGGTAGTTAGGAGCTTGGCCATTGAAGGAAAATCATGTGGTTTCAAATCTCAGCGGTACCACTTATGAACTGTGTGACCTTGGGCCAGTCACTCAACATCTCTGTGCCTCAGCTTCCTCATCTGTAATATGGGGCTAAGGGTAGTGCCTAAAACTAAACATGTGGTTACTGAGAAAGTAATGAGGACAGTGCCTGGTATATTTTAAACAATTAATGTGTATTAGTGATAATTATAAATTTTATGATTGATCCTCATAGCTAGCCTTATGGTTTAGATATTATTGTCCCTATTTTACAGAAGCAGAAACTGAGGCTGAGAAAATCTGAACAACTTGCTTATAAGGTCAAACAGCTAATGGAATGGGACAATGTGATCTGAGCTTATCTGTTAAACACCACTATTACAAAATGGTGCATTGGTTAAAGGTAAACATAGATCATGCAAATAAGATAAAAAAGGATAAAGAAAATATCAATAAGGATGAAATGCTAAAGGTCATTTTGACTCCTGCCTGTATCTCTGGACATCAGTGCGCTGGAGCTGTCCTAGAAACCTGAAGGTTCATACTTGGTTTCTGTGGTGCAAAACTACTGGGCTTTTTTGTAGTCCAGTTCAGCTCCACGAACTTGTTGAAAACTACCACCATGCCCAACTAATGCTGAACCTGTCTGTATTTAGCCACCTGTGTACACTTGTACCTCAGTGGCCCAGCCATGGCAAATTAAGCCCTGCTTGGTTTTCTGCAGTTAGGTGAAGAGCAACTACTATGATATGTTAATCTGTAAGATTTTGAGGTATTTGAGAGATAAGGTGAGGAAAAGAGAACGACAACAACAAAAAGCACTGATCATGAACTGAATAGTTAGCAAAGACCACATAGAACTAAAAAAAAAAAATAAAGAAAAACAGAGAAAAGCGAAAATCTATATAGAACAGAGAGAATACACAGGATTGGAATCATGAGATTGGATTTTTCATCCTACCTCCACTATGTGTAAGTAGCTTTGTGACTTTGGGAATGTCACTTAGCCTCTCTGAGCCTCAGTTTCCTTATCTCTAAAATGGAGAGATTAATATCAGCCTCATGAGACTGTCGTAGAATGAAATCATAATGTAAAGATACATTGTGAGGGCTGGGTGCGGTGGCTCACGCCTGTAATCCTAGCTCTCTGGGAGGCCCAGATGGGCGGAATGCTCAAGGTCAGGAGTTCGAAACCAGCCTGAGCAAGAGCGAGACCCCGTCTCTACTATAAATAGAAAGAAATTAATTGGCCAACTAATATATATAGAAAAAATTAGCCGGGCATGGTGGTGCATGCCTGCAGTCTCAGCTACTCAGGAGGCTGAAGCAGCAGGATCACTTGAGCCTAGGAGTTGGAGGTTGCTGTGAGCTAGGCTGATGCCAAGGCACTCACTCTAGCCTGGGCAACAAAGTGAGACTCTGTCTCAAAAAAGAAAAAAAAACACAAAAGATAAATTGTGAGGGAAATTCTTTGTAACTCTAAAGCAGCATACAAAAGTTTTTTAAAAATTATTGTTATTACAGGTAATTATAAATATGAAAAGCATCAATAGGAACCTTGGGAAAGAAAGCTTATTAATTCCAAGGAGGCTTTAAAAATGATCAAGAAGCAATGCTAACAGAAAGACAATGGAGAGTGTTCTGGATCAGAGGAACATAACACCGCTGCTTACTTTGATGACTCTTTTGCATGAGGGGACTGTGAAACCTTTTGAGCCCCACATCCTTAAAGAGGATCTTGTGTATAAGTACAAACGATAACTTGGGGTTTGAAGAACCTTCTCTGAGGTTGAACATCAAAATAATTAGGTGTGTTGGGACAGCGTGCAGAGAACCACACACTTGCTTTTCCAAGGCAAAAGCATACAAGGCATGTGCAATGCATGTGGAACACTGATTTTACAAAAGAAATAATTCTCCACTTATATATTATTAATACTCCATTTCTTCCCCATTAGAGAGAGGGATGGCAACCTGTGTGTCTCCTCAGCCTCTTATGGGCAACTTCACACACTGTGGAATGATTGTGTTTTGAATTCCATCGCCTGCATTCTATTTAGACCACAGGATTATCTCCTTTTTTGTGTGTGCTTGCTGGTATTTAACTACTCGATTTGAAGATGATGGGATCCAGATCATTCCAGACACTTATTAGGGTGAAGCTGAAGGGCTAAGCCTGCTGTCCCCGTCCCCACTCTTGTCTGGCAGAGCTTTTCTTTATTCATCGATGTGGCTGGTGTTTTCCAAGAGCCGCTAATGTGTGTGGCTCTGTGCTGAGTGTTACAGTGGCATATGTGAAAAGGGAGAGGTGTTTTTCCTCCAGAAGTTTATAATTTTCTTGGGAGGAGACATATAAGAATAAGAATAGTGGCCAGGCGCAGTGGCTCATGCCTGTAATCCTAGCTCTCTGGGAGGCCAAGGTGGGTGGATGGCTCAAGGTTAGGAGTTCGAAACCAGCCTGAGCAAGAGTAAGACCCAGTCTCTACTAAAAATAGAAAGAAATTAATTGGACAACTAAAAATACATAGAAAAAAATTAGCCGGGCATGGTGGCGCATGCCTGTAGTCCCAGCTACTCAGGAGGCTGAGGCAGGAGGATCGCTTGAGTCCAGGAGTTTGAGGTTGCTATGAGCTAGGCTGATGCCATGGCACTCTAGCCTGGGCAACAGAGTGAGACTCTGTCCTAAAAAAAAAAAAAAAAAAAAAGAATAGTGGCCAGTAGGCATGGTGGCTCACGCCTATAATCCTAGCACTCTGGGAGGCTGAGGCGGGCGGATCGCTCAAGGTCAGGAGTTCGAAACCAGCTTCTGCAAGAGGGAGACCCCATCTCTACTATAAATAGAAAGAAAATAATTGGCCAACTAAAAATACATAGAAAAAAATTAGCTGGGCATGGTGGCACATGCCTGTAGCCCCAGTACTGGGGAGACTGAGGCAGTAGGATGACTTGAGCCCAGGAGTTTGAGGTTGCTGTGAGCTAGGCTGATGCCACAGCACTCTAGCCCATGGCATCAAAGAAAAAAATAAAAAAAGAATATGAATAGGCTCCTAAAGATCAAAGTCTTTGTCTTACTCATCTTATTCATATATACAAGGCACTTGCCATTAAATGTATTAAATAAATGAGTGAATGAATGGATGAGTTAAATCAAGGTGGAAGGCAATATATAGCACTAAAATGAATGAAACAACATAGAAGACCTTGTCCCTAGCAAAAAAAAAAAGAGGAAAAAAAAATTAGCCAAGCTTCCTGGTGAGCACCTGTAGTTCCAGGTACTCGGGAGGCTGAGACAGGAGGATCACTTGAGCCCAGGTGTTCAAAGTTGCAGTGAGCTATGATGACGCCACTGTACTCTGACCTTGGCCACAGAGCAAGATCCTGTCTCTAAAATAAATAGAACTTTAAAACATATAATAAAATAAAATGAATGAAACAAGCAGTAATTGCAATAGGACTGAAGAGACATGTCAATTTTGGCAAAAGCATTTAGGGAAGGTCTAAGGTTATAGCTCTTTGATTCAGGTCTGGAATCTCTGGAAGCTCTCCGTGGTCTAGGTTACTGACCGGGAAGGAGGGGTCCACAACAGGCTTACAATCAACCTGTCTCTTTATTGGGGATGCCCAGGGGGAAAAAGAGATGACCCAGTTAAATCCTCTTCCAAATATGCTGGTAACCAGACCTTCTAATAAACACTCTAATAGTTCTTCCTAGCAGAAAAATAACAGGGTCCTTATCTGCGAAATGCTTTTAGGATACATCAAGTGTGTCTAGATTGGTTATGATAACAAACTCTGTAATTTGTGGATATGTGGGGACATGACAGGTTGGAGAATTAACGGATATAAATGGAGATGTTCACTGAAGTTGTTCCCTTTGTAAATCAACGTTCCACATGCACGGCTCTCCTCATGCACACCCAGTGAGACCTGAAACGTTAAATCTGAATCAGAACAAATCCTAAAGCCAAAAGAAAAAGAACCTAAGTATTCTTAGCCTTAGTCTCCTCATCTGCAAAATGGGTTGCCGTTAGGAGTGGCTGTGGAACTCGAAGGGGGAGCATGTGCCGAGCGCTTTACCCGTCTCTGCACTGGAGCAGGCACTCTTTTCCCAGCTGGAGCCAGCCCGGTCGGCAGGAGCCGCACTGCCTGCTGTGTCTCCCTTCACACGTCCTGCAAGAGCTGTGGCAGGGGCCACAGCGGTGGCTGTCCTCGTCGGCGTAGTAGCCCTCTGGGCAGTCCTCCACGCAGGTGGTGTCTGTCATGGGAGGAAAAGAGTCTGTCTGGACATCAGCCGTGACGCAGGCCTTCCAAACCCCCCGCTGTGTTCTCCCCACTTTGTACCATGGCGGGGCGAGGGGGGTGCGGGAGGAAGGGGACAACGTCCCCTTGGGCTGGTGGATATGCTTGGGAACTAAGATGAAAGTCCTAAGGCCATCAGGAGTTCAAAGGAAACAGAAGTCAGGGCGGACTCGCCGTGGTGGGTAGAACAGAAACTACAGTCCGGGTCGTTGTGCAGCCAATGGAGCTGGTTCACTAGAGGGAAGCCCACCCCCTAAAGGAAAGACACCTCCCTCTGTAGTATTTGCCTATAGCTGCCTTAACAAATTGCCACCAACTTGGTGGCTTGAAACAACACACATTTATTATTTTACTGTTCTGGAGGTCGGAAGTCCAAAATGGATCCACAAGGCTTTCTGTTCTTTCTACAGGCTCCGGGCGACAATCTGTCTCCTGGCCTTTTCCACCTGCATTCCTTGGCTCATGCCACCCCTACCCTTTCATCTTCAAAGGAGCAGCACACCATCTCTCTCTGTCTCTCTGCTGCTGGTCACGTCACCTTCTACTACTACTGCTGCTCCGCTCGCTGCTCTCTTATCAGTCCCCCAGTGATTAATTACACTGGGCCCACCTGCATAATCCATGATGCTCTCCCCCTGCCAAGATCCTTAATTAAAGCACAACTGCAAAGTCCCTTTTACTATGTAAGGTAATATATTTGTAGGATCCATGAATTAGGATAGGACATCTCCAGGGGGAGCCTTTATTCAGTCTACCACAACCTCCAAAAAATTATCTAGTTTGTAATTAGCCTGACCCTGGTGCTGTGGTGGGGTGGGCAGGGTGGGGAGAATGTGAGAAGACCAGGCCTGAGCAAATCCTGTGCCCAGCCCTTGGGAACTACAGCTCTGCGTCGTGTCACACGCCAGCGCCGAAGTCTCACTTCTCGCCTAACTTGCATGCCCAGTGTAAGGGAAGCCCACTTTGCAGTGACGAGATGTCTTCCTCTCTCTATGAAGGCATCTGAGGTGACCACTGGTGGCACTCTAGATTGGAGACAATTAGGACAAAAAGTCCTGGTGTTGGGGGGAAGGTGGGGAGGTGGGGTGGGAGAGGGGTGGGGGTGGGATTATATCCATGTGGTTGGAGGAAAGGTTTTCATGAAGGAACAACTGCTGGGAAGGAGAGTCACTGAGACCTGTGTACCAGGAGTGAAGATGGATGGATGGAGAAGATGGGTATCCTTGAGTGTTTTCTATGGCGGCGTGATCAGGAGTGGCATGAGGGTAGTTCTATGGCGGCGTGATCAGGAGTGGCATGAGGGTAGTTCTATGGCGGCGTGATCAGGAGTGGCATGAGGGTAGTTCTATGGTGGCGTGATCAGGAGTGGCATGAGGGTAGTTCTATGGTGGCGTGATCAGGAGTGGCATGAGGGTAGTTCTATGGTGGCGTGATCAGGAGTGGCATGAGGGTAGTTCTATGGTGGCGTGATCAGGAGTGGCATGAGGGTAGTTCTATGGCGGCGTGATCAGGAGTGGCATGAGGGTAGTTCTATGGTGGCGCGATCAGGAGTGGCATGAGGGTAGTTCTATGGTGGCGTGATCAGGAGTGGCATGAGGGTAGTTCTATGGCGGCGTGATCAGGAGTGGCATGAGGGTAGTTCTATGGCGGCGTGATCAGGAGTGGCATGAGAGTAGTTCTATGGCGGCGTGATCAGGAGTGGCATGAGGGTAGTTCTATGGTGGCGCGATCAGGAGTGGCATGAGGGTAGTTCTATGGTGGCGCGATCAGGAGTGGCATGAGGGTAGGCATCCCTGTGTCTCAGCAGGGCACTGGTGTCCTTGCTCAACAAGAGGAGGGAAAACGTGCTATGCATTTCTACTTAGAGTGTCTGGCACCCCAAGTCTATTCTACTGGCCAGAGAGAAAAGTGCCAATGTTCCTGGTCTTCACCATGTCCACTTCTTTCTTTTCTCTCCTACAGCTTTATCTTTCAGTTTAGTTTAGTTTTGTTTTGTTTTCTTTTTCCCACACTTGTTTCCAGCCCTAATCATGGTATCCCTCAGAACCTGAGGGTGTCACCTCATAAGAGCAAGAACCTTCAGTCCTGATCTGCGGGAGGTGGCCAAACTTGTGGCACATGGCCAACATGTACCACATGTTGTTCAAGAAGATTAATTCATCAACAGGGCCGGGCGGGCGCGGTGGCTCACGCCTGTAATCCTAGCACTCTGGGAGGCAGAGGTGAGCGGATTGCTCAAGGTCAGGAGTTCAAAACCAGCCTGAGCAAGAGTGAGACCCCATCTCTACTAAAAAATAGAAAGAAATTAATTGGCCAACTAAAAATACGTAGAAAAAAATTAGCTGGGCATGGTGTGCATGCCTGTAGTCCTAGCTTCTTGGGAGGCTGAGGCAGAAGGATTGCTTGAGCCCAGGAGTTTGAGGTTGCTGTGAGCTAGGCTGACGCCATGGCATTCTAGCCTGGGCAACAAAATGATACTCTGTCTCAGAAAAAAAGAAAGAAATGGGGTCAAAGATTAGCAGTAGGTGAAATGAGTAGAGGGCCTATGTGTGCTGTTCTTCATACCATTCTCACACTTGTATCTTTTCTGTAGGCTTAAAAATTTCCCAAACACAAAGCAAAAATTAAAAAAGAAAAAGCCCGTATCTACGAGACACTAGGCCCTGTGCAAGGTGGTTTCCCCGAGCGAGGGAAATACAAAGCCCTCCTCACAGAGGCAACTCACTGAGAAGAAGGGTCTTCCTCTGGCAAGTGTGACACTGGTCCTTGGCAGGCCCCGTGCAGCGGAAGCACCGAGTGTGGCAGGGCTTGCAGGCACGAGCCTTTTCATCCCAGTACTCGGAGCGGGTGCAGTCCCCCTTAGCCACGCAGTCCCCGAGGCCGTTCAGCCTCAGGCCTTCCCGACAGGCGGTGCAGGTCCCAGCCGAGGAGCAGGTGGAGCAGGACTCTGGGCAATCTGTGGGCGTGGTGGGGGAGCAAACAGAGAGTGAGACAGGGAGGGCCAGGGCGCCCCTAGAAAGGGTGTTCACGTTCCTTCCACATTTCTTCCAGAGATTTCTATCCAACGGTGTGGGGCCATGATTTGGGGACAGCCCTTGGGCTCTGGGGTCGAACATTCTTGTTGCAAAATGAGAGAAAATGGCTGTTTCCTTTCTCTGTAATACCCAGAAAGTGCCTTCTGCAGCAGCCACCTCAGAAATATCAGAAAGGCTCACTATGATGCCCCAAACTGCAACAAGATAAGAACAAGCAATGCAGCAGCAGCACAGTTCCACGTGCTGGAAAGTGGCTTTCCAGCCGTCACAGTGCCTGTTGCTATGGTCCTCCACTCACCTCCCTAAATGCCCTGGGCTTCTCGCTAATACTGCAGCTGTTGCAATGTATTATAGTTGCCCATTGACAGACAAGGCCAATTTCGTATTTATTTTTGAATGCACGGTGCCAATGAGAGGGCCTGGCATATCATAGGCACTCAATAAATATGTTTGTTAGACAAATAAAATAACAACTCACTCCCATCTCTGGGTTTTAGCAGTTGCCATTCTCTCTGCCTAGAATTCTCTTCTCCCAGACATCTACGTGGTCTGCTTCCTCCCTCTCTCAGCAATATCTTTTGGGACATCTCTCAAGTTTCAACTCCATCTTGCCCATCTTCCTGTTTCCCTTCTCTGCAGCGTCTGACTTCCCCGAAACAATGTGAGCTCCACAAAGGCGAGATTCTGCCTGTATCACTCCCTGATGTTGCCCAGGCCTGGAAGAGTACATGTGCTCAGGTGATTCTAATGGATGACCAGGGGCCTTTCTCAAAGGGATAAGTAAATCAGATAAAACGCACTTTGAGACCCATAAAGCTCTCTGTGTCGTAAATTACTTCGATTACTGAACAGCCGAGAAAGGCCAGAAGAGGAGCCTCCGTGCCTGCCCTAGTACGGCAGGGTCAAGATGGCGCCGCGGGCCTTGGCTGCGTCTTCAACGTCTCCTTGCAGCCGGCCCCGGGTTCCATAGCTGCCCCACGTGCTGACTCCCGCCTCCTCTGCAGGCAGGCACAACCGCCCACCTTGACGTCCGCGCTCTGTCACAAGCAGGCAGGTGGGCACTGACGCTAAATAGTGCTCCATATAAAGCACAGAAAGTGGCATATCCAGATGCCAAGGCTGAGCAGAAAGCCTCCAGGAGGGAGGCGAGTCCTCCTCTTCTACCAAAACCACCCCCCTGTGTCCCAGGGTGTGGGTGGCCCAAGGCTTCTCCATGAAAGGCTGTTAGGGGGACTGCCTTGGGGTCTCCCCCTCACGCCTGCTGGGTGGAAACGCAGGGGCTGAAGTATCTCTGGCTGCCCCATTGCCACGGATCCTGGGGCTCTGGCAAAACCCCTCTCCCCCAGAACTCTTCGTTCATTTGCTTGAGAATACCTCTAGTCATGCACAATTTATTTCATCTTTCTATTCTCTGGTAAATAATAAGAGGCAAACAATTTACACCCAGTTAAAATACAAGGAGGCGTGGATAACAGCAGAGCCTTTCTCCAATGTGTTGGGACTGAAGTGCCTAGTGGGAGACGGACTGGGGGCCTCCGAACAGGAGATGAGGAGGAGGAAGGAGCAGAGCTTTGGGGCAGGGCAGACAATGGAGGGCAGACAATGGAGGGAGACAGAGGAGACCCAGCAAGTCCTCCTTGGCACAGTTTTCTTGCGCTATAAACTTATAATGGCTTGACATTTTAAGAAAAATCTCCCACTTGGGGTGACTTTTGAAGGCTCATCATCTCTGTTGTAAATCTTCACATGAGAATTCTTTTTTATTTTTTCTAGAGACAGAGCTTAGCTCTGTTGTCCAGGCTGATCTCGAACTCCTGGCCTTAAGTAGTCGTCCAGCCTCAGCTTCCCAAATTGCTGAGATTACAGGTGTGAGCCACAGCATCAACCTGAGAATTCCTTTTGACCAGTAGTTCTTAGCCACTGGTGTGAGGATGGTCTGAAATTGTCCTTACAGGGTTAAAAAGAATTACTTGCCAGGCTCTGGATAGAAACATAGTTATAATAATTTTTTTCCACCCTCCCTACCAGTTATAATCAAGCACTTATCTGACTGCACTTTGGCCCACTACCTCATAGCTGCTTACTAACTGAAAGTCATGTAGCACTAAATACTGACCTTTGCAACCCATCGTTCCTATAGATAGGATCTCTGATGTTAGAATTGTAAGGATTTTGTTTAATAATTGCTTAAGACATTTTTCAGATCCTGAATTCCAACCAGTTTGCAGACCCCCACAGGAGAACCAAATCAGCACGAGCATGTAGTCACTTCACCTCCCCATCCCATGATTTCCCCCAATCAATGATCCGCACGCCTTGGCCCCCTGCTCATCCTGACCCCTTAAAATTCCTAGTCCCAAACTCCTCTGGGAGGCAGATTGGAGATGTCTTCCTGTCTCCTTGCTTGGCTGCCTTATGATTAACCCTCTTTCTCTGCTGCAGCTCGTTGTATCGATGTATTGGCTTCCTGCACATCATCAGGCAAGGAACCTGATATGGTTACAGCTCCACATGATGTCTTACTAATAAAGGTTGCATGATCAAAGCTTATGAGTGATTCATTTAAAAAATTAATTAGAACCAATTCAAAACACGCTTCCTTGAGTGGGAGGGTAAAAGGTGAGATGACAGCTGTGAGGCTGGAGCTGTGAAAACCCCAAAGCCTGTTTTGTCTGGGCAGAAACCCATCTCATTAGGCTCCCTGGGATGCCATGCCCGGCCACATACCCTGAAAGTCTTTACCTCTGCAATCATTAGTCTGTTTTTCATAATAAGTTCCTGCTGGACACTCGTTCAAGCACAGCCCGTTGTAGAGGACCAAGGAATCACTAGCACAGAGCTGACAGTCATCAGCTTTGGGGCCATGGCACTTCAGACAGTCTTCATGACAGGGGAGACAGCGGCGTGAGTCCTCATAGAAGCGTTGGGGACAGGACTGCTGGCACATGTCGTTGTGCAGGAAGAACTCAGGCAGGCACTCTGGGGGCAGGAGGAAGCAGCAAGTTATCCCCAGGGGCATAGGAGAAAGGGATTCATTGCTTTTGCAGCGGGCTAGCCTGGCCCTCACCACTTCGGTTTGTTTGACCTCAGGGTACACTTGTCCCATTCCCACGCCGCCAGGCCATAGCCTCGATGTCTAACAAGCCCTGCCTTGAGAGGAGATGGCCATACATGGTGGCCTGATCAGATGGTCCCGGATTTATATGCTGAAATGGCCTGCCCTTTGGAAGTGGAAAAAATTCCAGTGCTGTGGCAGACAGGGATGGTTGAGATTCTGGAGGGATTCTTAGGAAAACCTAAGAGCATTAATAGAGAGAGCATTAATAGTTTTTAAAATTGGATCGAGCACCTCACACCCTATTCAATATAGAAAGCAGTCTAGAAATTGTTGGCTTAGTTGATTTTTTATTGATTGATAGGGTAGAATAATGAATAAATGGCTAATCAGTGTGAAGAATACATTGAGTTTATTTTGTGCTCGTTTTCCTTGTTTGGGGGAATCCTGGAAAACACTTAGATCACACCAGGAGAACACCTTGGATAGGACAACACCAGTTAGATGCATCTGTCTTATTTCAGAGGGGAAGGTGGACAGCTTTTCCTGGGAGATAATTCTAGGGCTGGGGAAGGAGGGAACTATACATAGTCAGAGTGCTAATCTCAGTCTTATAGTTGTCTGAGCTTTTCTTTCTTATTCTTTATAACAATTGTAATTTTCTAGCTACTTCTTTGTTTTATTGTTTAATATCTGTAAGATTTTGTGCTCAAAAACACGGGAACCTTGGGCTCTTATCTGTATCTCTAGAACCTAGGAGGATAGTGCTTGGCACACCAGTGTGTGTATGTGTGTGTGTGTGTGTGTGTGTGTGTGTGTGTGTAAGAAATCATGCAAAAGGGAGCTCTTGTTTGTCTTAGCTTGCAGAATCCATGATGAGAAGGACGGATCTCACCCTCAATTTCCTCAATGACAGTAAGGGGGAGGAGAGAAATTTCGGTAAAAGGAGAGAGACTGGTACCCACAGTTCTCTTGGGACACCCCACCCCGGGATAGCTGGCCTCCAGCCAGGGTGGCTCAGCAGAGCCCCGCCCTCCCTTGGGATGCTGCCTGGTACCTTTGCATGTTTTCTCGTGGATGCACTCCTGGCACATCTCTGGGCAAGGCTGGCACACGCCCTGCACAGCCACGTGCCTCTCGGAACAGGTTTTCTGGCACACTCCCTGCTGCAGGACAAGGTCTCCTTCACAGGAGTGGCAGTTGGTGGCATTTCCTTCGCATGTTCTGCAAGAAGAGCTGCAGCGTTCGCATATGCCGTCTTCTGCATAGAAGCTGCTGCAGAAGGAAGAGACAGCACAACTGGAGAAGCTGACCCGCTAGAGAAACCATCCATACCTGGGGGTGAAGGAATTAGAACCAAAACCAAAAGGGCTGCTGCTATTGCCAACCAAAAGGAATCCTCAGGATTCCCCGAGGAAGCCCAGTGAAAAGGAATGTCTAGAAAAATAGAATGAAAAGGATAGGCATTATCCTTGTGAGTGTGACCAGTTTGAAAACAACTGTCATGAATTTGTATATAGTTTAGTCATCTTCTCTTTTCCATGTGACTCCCTGATTTTCGTTATTTTCTCTTTCTTTTTGTCAGAGCTTTACTTTAGAGTACAGAATACTTTCTGATTAATACAATTTTAAAACAATAAATTAAAAATTATTTTCAAAAACCTCAAGAGGGTTAATGCCCTATGAGATTAGAACCACTTTTGCTGTCCATCAAGCTCTGATGGCTTCTTTCAAACACACACATAGGCACATTTGCACACAGCAGCAAATGCACATTGAGTACCGGTATGTTTGTGTGATTGACTGTCTTCCTAGTGGAATCTGATGTCTGCATATATAGTATCTCTCAGTGATTAGACTGTCCCATTACAGAAATCACTCGCTGTGTGAACACAGTAAATATGAAATCCCAATCCTTCCAAATATATTTGGGAGATGAAGAAGTATAGATAATGTTTCTTTGAAGGGAAAAGGTGAAAGGAAGAGCTGGAACTAGCAGAAGCAGGAAAATCATAAACCAGCTAAGAGAAAATGGACTTCTGGTGTCACAGGTAAAACTGATGTCCAGTTGTTTCTGTAATGACGCTTCTGTTAGTCAGTGATTGCCATAGTAGTGCTGTGTAACAAACCACCCCAACCCAAAACTCAGTGGCTTGAAACACAATGACTTGTGCGTGTGGGTAAGCAGGTGTAGGCAGAGCTTGGTGATCTTGATGCCAAGCTGCACCCCGGGGCCAGGTCTTCACATCTGTTCCTGGCACAGCAGCAACCAAGGCATATTCTTTTCATAGCCATGACAGAAGCACAAGAGGGCAAGTTCAACTGGGCACATTTTTTTAGTCCCCTGCCTCTCTTCTGCTAACATCTCATTGGTCAAAGAGAGTTGAATAACCCAGCCAAAGTCAAGGGACAGGGAAGTCCATTTTGCCTCTGGTGGGCACTCCTCAAAGTTACAGGCAGAGGGGGCGGACACGAGGAGGGGTGAAGAATTGCAGCGAGTAACTCAATCCACCAGAGTCTTCTTTAAATCTTGATGCCAATGAGGGATCTTCTCCTATACGACATTTTTATTTTGTGTATTTATTAACTCATACATTTAATCATTCTTTCAGTCATTTATTTAATGTATTCATTCAGTGAACAGAAATGTATTGAGTATGCCAGGAAGAAATAAGATGGAGTGAATAAAATTCATATTTCTAATGTGGTTTTAGAAAGAAAAATTGGAGAAAAAGCAGCTTAGGTAGAAGTAAACAGTATCTAGATGAAAGCTAAGACCAGGCTTCCTCACACATGAGTATCCCTAGATTTTTTTTGACCAGGATGGAGAACATTTGAAGAATTAAGACTCAGCTACTTTCTCCAAACTAAATCTATCTCTTAAGAATGAATTTAATGGGTGTGGTGTGCACCGTCTGGGGGATGGACATGCTTGAAGCTCTGACTCAGGTGGAGCAAAGGCAATATACAAAACCTAAACATCTGTACCCCCATAATATGGTGCAATAAAACAAAATTTAAAAAAGAAATGAGTTTGAGCCAGGCATGGTGGTGCACACCTGTAATCCCAGTGACTTGGAGCCTAAGCAGGAGGATGGCTTGAGCCCAGGAGTTCAAGGTTGCAGTGAGCTATGATCACGCAACTGCATTTCACAGGCTGGGTGACAGAGCGAGAGTCTCTCTTAAAAATAAAACCCGAATTTGACAAGACAGTGGATAGAAATGTGTTATGTGCTCACCAGGAGTTTGATTGGATTTGAAAAATTTGAAATTAAGAAAATTTAGTGCATTTTCAAACAGACTACATCTTCTAACTGAATGAAAATTTGATGGATTCATTGTTCCTGTGTGTGTATTAATAGTAAAGAATTTGGCTCCACTCAAAGAGAGTTCTGGCCTTTCTCCCCAGCCAGCCCCTAAACCCTTGGAATTCCCTAGTGACAGGAGTGTCTTTGTCATTCATGATGGGCCCTTCTCACCACACCTGATGGCTGGTGATGTGAGGACTCAGGGTGGGGTGGGCCACGCCAGCGAGACCCACCCTGTGACTAAGGGACGGAGCTTTGTGAAATCAGCCCGACCCCCAGGGAATTTTCAGGGCTGGGCCTGGCCAAGGCCTCTAGACAATAGTTTGTGAACACTGAAGACAATGAATTTTAGTGCAGAGCTTGAAGAGATGCAACATGAAGAAACCTGTTCAGATTCTTCTCGTAAGAGAGCCAGTAAATGTTGGATAAGATGCTGAAACAAAAAGAATGGATGCAAGCAAAAAGAAAAAAAAAAAAAAACAAAACTATTGAAGGCTATGGCTAACTCAAAATCAAGCGAATATGAGAAACTGTCAGGTGACAGTCAGAAAACAACACGAGAAAGTGATTTTCAAAGATCCACTTTGTTAAAAGCAGCCTTCTGTCTCCACACAGATGTGCCCCGTTGTTTGTCCTCCTGTCCCCTCTCTGCATTTACAACAATTTTGTCAATGCTTTATTTCATAATTATTTTTATTTAAAAAGACCAATGTTACTTTTGAAAAGAAATGCCGCATGTATTAAATTGTTAAATTCAAAGTACTTTATGCTGAAGCCTTTGGACCCAGATAAATACACGTCATGCAAACACAGTGTGGTCCTGGAGTTTCACCTACATTTCACAGACACCCCAGATGGTGACAGGCAGCGCTTAAAGGAAGACTGCTGCTCTTCCGCCAGAGCGTCCAAGCTGTGCAGAGTTGGCGGGTTTGAGTACACCTTAAGTTTTTTGTTGCCTTTTAAGCATCCACTATTATGATATATGTTACTATTCAAACTTTTTTCTTTCATAAGCATATATTATATTTGAAAAAGCAGGGGCCGCTAAAGCTAACTTATAAATACCTCTGAATACCCGGATGCTGTTTCATTGCAGGTTACATTCCTGTTACAAATCTTACTGTCGTTCTAGGATGGATCACACCCAAAAGGGCGATTTCTCAGAAATAGCAACAAAACCTTCCAAGATAACTTGGATATTATATGTTCTTCAGACTCTGTCTCCTCTGGTTTTTTTTTTTGTAAACACAAAGATGAGGGACCCCCGCAGTAATCAGATGACCCTACCTATAACAGGAGAGCACACGCCTATAATTCTATAGTCTGCAACATTCTTAGGTAATGCTAGTAGCTTTCCTATCGCTCAAAAAAGACAAAATGTCTTGACTGCTGGATATTTGCCTGGTGGTTCAACCCAGATCTGGAAGAAAGAAATGCGAGGGGTCAACTAACTGGAGGAAGGCAAAATGCATCTCTTTCTTCCTTGTTTTAATGCATTGCCAATTCCTGGAACATTTGGAGAATCCCAGAGACAGTTGGGAAAGGGTGGTGATGATTAAATAAGTAAGGAAATAATGACCACCAGTTCAATCCCACCAGGCGAAGGTTAATAAGGAAGCAACAGATTGACTTTGGTAAGTAGATTTCTAACCTTTGCCTTTGTTTTATTTTAACTCTTTGCTGACCTTGCTGGGACTGGGGCATGGTTGATAGGAAAGCAGGGCTGGGAGTTTTCTGGCCCATGCCTCAGACTGCCTTCTCCCTCTGGGTTCTCTTATTCTGATCCTGTCCTCCCCTTCCTCCAATCTGCTTGACAAAATCCTTCAAGAGCCAGTCACCATTAAGCCTCTTCTCAAATACCCAGCTGGGGGGTGAATCTTGAAAACATTATGCTAAGTAAAAGAAGCCAGTCACAAAAAATAATCACATTTTGTTTTGTTTTTCATTGTTGTGGTCTTCTTGTTTGTTTGTTTCTAGAGATAGGGTCTCACTATGCTGCCCAGGCTAACCTCAAACACCTGGGATCAAGTGATCTTCCCACCTTGGCTTTCCAAACAGCTGAGATTAAAGGAATACACCACCAAGTCTGGCTCAAAGACCAAATTTTGCATGATTCCACTGATACGCAATGTCCAAGAATAGACAAATCCATAGAGACAGAAAGTAGATTAATAGTTGCCTAGAACAGGGGGAAATGGGGCAAAATGGGAAAAACTGCTAAAAGGGCACAGGATTTCTTTTTGGAGTGATGAAAATGTTCAACTTTATTGTGGTGATGGTTGCCTAATTCTCTGAATATGCTAAAAAAAACTGCATTGAATTGTACATTTTTATGTGTAAATTGTGTGGTATGTGAGTTATGTCTCAATAAAGCTGCAGTAAAAAAACAAAAAACAAAAAACAAAAAAAACTGGACAGGAAGGCAGTGATGGTTAAGCACATGACTTTAGTGCCAGAGAGATCTGAGTTCAAATTCTGGCCAAAGCATGTATTAGCTGTGTAAAATCGAGCATGCAATTCTCTTCCTCATCTATAAAATGGGGGAAAATAATAATGCGTACATAAGAACATTCTTGTGAGAATTCATGGGATCGCACATTAAAAACCCTTCGCACAATGCCTAAACACTGCAGGCACTCAAAAAAACAGCTCTTTTCAAATGTTTTCTTTGCCTTGGAATCTCTTAACCCTTGCGTATTAAGGCCCTGACAAGTAGGGTATTGCCTGGTGTAAACCTCCCGTACTGGAGGGTAAGCCCTTTGCAGGCTCAGACTTCCTTCAGTGGATCTTAACTTAGCTTCCCCCACCAATACCAATATCAATGCTATTGAGTTGTGCATGTACAATACGATGCATTGATACTGTATCAATATCAATTCCTACACCTAGTTGGTGCCAAATGTGTACCTGTGTAGTTGAACTGAGTGTGCTTCTACACCAGACGGGACACTTTTTGAGGGTAAGTATCATGACTTATGTCTGCACTCTGCAGGGTTGATCTTAGTAAGGGATACAAACAGGCCATTAGGAAACATGTCTTTATTATCAAATCCTTTTACTCAGAGGGCAAATGAACATCCCACTTCTTTAAAATGGGCTCTGTCATTTGCTTCCCCAAACTTATTTCCTGACTCCCTCTCTCCATCCTTCCTGGCTGTTAGTATTATTTATGATCAGGTTTGGGTATTCAGGGATGAATCTTGGGCAGCCTAAACCAATCCTTATATTTCCATTTTTTTTTTTTTTTGCCAGAGATTGGTTTAGGACAGTGTACGTGAAGCATTCTGGTTGATGAGTGAGATTGGAAGGGAAGTCTGAGGAAATTTTCTTTTCTCTTAAAAAAGTGATACACAGGCCAGATGCTGGGGCTCACTTCACACCTGTAATCCCAGCACTTTGGGAAGCAGAGGTGGGAGGATGGCTTGAGGCCAGGAGTTTGGGACCAGCCTGGGCAACATAGCGAGACCTCATCTCTGCAAAAAATAAAAATTAAAAAATTAGCCAGGTGTGGTGGCGCATGCCTGTGGTCCTAGCTACTTGAGAGGCTGAGGTGGGAGAATCACTTAAGCCCAGGAATTTGAGGCTGCAGTGAGCTATAATCTTGCCACTGTACTGTAGCGACAGAGTGAGATGATGTCTCTTAAAAGAAAAAGAAAGAGACAGAGAGATAAACAAGGAGAAAATGTCCCTTTTCACTCTAGTCGTGGCTACATGGGTGACGACGTTTGGAGCCGGGGCAGACAACGTGGGCTCAGCAGAGGAGCAGCTGGGGAGAACAAGCTAAGGAACGCACAAGAGCAAAATGGAAAAACTGGGATTTTGATAACCTTGTTGGCCACTGAAGTAACCAAGAGTGGATTTCCAACTTTCTTGTTTTGTGAGATAGCAAGCCCTATTATTGTCTCAGCCATTGTTCCTGGCCTTTCTGCTGCTTACAGCTTGTAGTTTCCTGATGTACTTTTCCATTTGCTATATCCCACTTACCTTTTAGGTAAATCCTGGAGGTGGCTCACTGATAGGAAGAGTAAAGGGATCACAAACCAGAGGTCCGAGGAAACCACGAGGAGTCAGCATAATTAACCAGGTGTGATTATTTGTAATTCATACCTCCCCTATTTAAACCTTTAGAAGAGGTTCATATCACAGCCCTTGGTGATGGAGGAAAAGAAAGCTGACGACACTTGATCATTAACACAAGGTGGGGAAAAAAACACATATTTTCATAAAAGTAGAAATCTATGCATAGAGTAGTCACAAAGAAGAAGTAGCATCTGGCCTCACGTGAGTTTCGGCTGCTGTGGCCAACAGCAGCGTCAGACAGTCAACAGAGGACAGTGACGTGGGTGCTCTAACCACAGAAGAGAGGAATTTGGTGAATAGGCTGGATCTGCCCCCAAAGTACCGCAGGAGAATGAACACGAGCAGGAAGCAAAAGGAAGACGGAAACTTACTCGGGGCACTTGGAGTAGCACCTGCCTTCATGGAGGACGAGAGGGTGTCCCGGCTGATCCTGGCACTTCTCACAAAGATCGGCTTCAGAGCAAGAGGCACAGTCCTCCGTACAGTTCTCGCAGCTCCCACTCTGTGTGGAGGGCCACGTGCCTTGGGGACAGGAGGAAACGCAGGCCTGCGCCAACAGATATGCACCTAGAAACCAGGGGAGAGGACGGATGAGAACAGTCATCATGTGTTTGTCCACACAGAGACACTCGCAATGGCTTTTTTAACCTTTCCAAAAACCAAAGTATCTGGGACACTTATTTTAGCCTTACGAAAATATTTATTAGTGATAAATAATCACTAATAAGATGCTAAGTCCTCCAAAAGTTGAATCTCTAGAAAGGAAATTGACAACGAGAGGTTTTTGCCCTGTTTTCTTTTTTTTAATATTTTAAATTTTTTTAAATAAAATTTAAATTAAATTATTACTTTCTTTTCTTTTACAAACAACTCCTAGAATGCATTTTTCTTCTTCTTTTTTTGAGAAAGAGTCTCACTTTCTTGCCTGGGTGGCATCAGCCTAGCTCACAGCAACCTCAAACTCCTGGGCTCAAGCAATCCTGCTGCCTCAGCCTCCCGAGTAGCTGGGACTACAACAGGCATGCGATGCCCAGCTAATTTTTTCTATATGTATTAGTTGGCCAATTAATTTCTTTCTATTTTTTTAATAGAGATGGGGTCTCACTCTTTCTCAGGCTGGTTTCGAACTCCTGACCTTGAGCGATCCTCTTGCCTCAGCCTCCCAGAGTGCTAGGATTACAGGCATGAGCCACCACACCCGGCCTGCCTGTTTTCTTTATTTTCCTACTGATACTAGGCCAGGGTCATTACGGCGCTTCCCTTTGCCAGGCTGATCGGTCTTACTGACACCCTTGTCTATGTATGTCCTCCTGGTGTAAGGCAGCCACACACACACAGCTCGAAGGAATCTATTCTCTGCTTCCCCAGAGCCGGACCTGTTATGTTAGGACTCTGAGATTATTGCAACTCTTCCACCCAACTCGCCCTTTAGCAGATGGTCCATCTATTTATGCTTAATTGAAAAAGTCAGAAATCATTATTAAGAAAACCAATTTTAAAATCACCCTTGGGAGTGTATATTCAGGGCAACTTGAATCTATGCTCTCAGGATTCAAATAATTTTTTAAACATAAAAACTAAATACATAAAATAAAATCATCCACAACCCCCAAATTCCAAGAAAATTCTGTTACTTTTGGGTATAAGTTTTTACATTTTTATAATCATGGCTCATATATTATTTTAAATTCTCCTTTTGCATCAGATTCCGCTATTAACATCGTACATTTTAAACTGGCCTTCATAATGATCATTTAAATATTTTTTTCCCCCGATGAAACAGGCTCAGAAAAACATTCTTTATGAAAAAGAAACTGTGGACAAAGGATTATAAAATCTGAAAAAAGCAATTCTTTATGTTAATGCACCATGTAAATAGAATATTCCCCTCATTCAGGGAAGTTATGTTGTTCGTGATGTTTTGTTTTTACAGATGATGAAGCACTTGGTAATTTACCGAGCAGATATGTCGCTGCCCTTGTTCCTCCTCCCTCCACCATTAAAATCAGTATTGGTTGTGACGAAGGAGACAACACGTGGCTTTCTCTCCACTTACATTCTCCACCTTAAGTTCTCGTTCTGGATAGAGCATTTTCAAAGAGTAAGAGAACCTTCAAAAAATGTTAGGTAGTCACAGACCCTAGCCTGCGGCAACTGATTCTGCAGCCAAATCAACTGGTAATTTACTTCCTCATGCTTTTGGGCTAAGAAACTTTTTTTTTTTTTGGTCATTTGAAAGCCAGTTTTTATTATTGGCCAATGTTTGGGTCCCTGGATATCTCCAGAGTAGCCACTGTGACGGGAACATGTGGTGGAACTATTAATAGATCAAAGACCTACAAACCTCCTCACATAAGGACACCCATATTCCTGAGTTTAAATGAATTGGCTTGGCCCTTGCCACCTCTTGTGACACTCCATACCAGGCGTCCTCAAACTACGGCCCGAGGGCCACGTGTGGGTGTTTTTGCTGGTTTGTTTTTTTACTTAAAAATAAGATATGTGCAGTGTGCATAGTGATTTGTTCATAGTTTTTTTTTAAACTATATTCCAGCCCTCCAACGGTCTGAGGGACAGTGAACTGGGCACTGTTTAAAAAGTTTGAGGACCTTTGCTCCAAACTAACCTTTTGGACAGGAAGTGCACAGAGTTGCAGATCCATTGCAGGTTTTACAAGAAGAATCACAAGGCTGGTATTCTCTCAAAATGTCTGTATGGGAAAGAAACAAGTCAGGCGCATAGTATTACAATGTTAAAAAAGATCTCCTGGGTAACCTAGTCTCTCTTTCCACCCAAAAGAGAATCCCTTTGATTTTTACATTAGCTAACCATTGGCACCTGCCCATTGCCATTGCATAGAGTTTATTTACTTTTTTCTCTTACTCTTTCATTGACAATCAATTATCAAGACTTTCTTTGAAAACTTCCAGTGACAAGGAATGTCCTATCTTACAAGAATGTCCTATCTTGTAAGACATAAGCCTTAAGTACTATGGGGATATTTGAAATAACAAATGATTACTTCTTTCATGTGTTAAAAATGTGTGGGAGTGAGTGTGTGTTTGTGTTTATGCACTTGTGAAAGTCAAAGGTAATCGCTTCTTTCTGCAAGATTCTTGGATAAGCACTGCAATGGGATTGTCACAAAAGTGGCCAGAGTGACTGTCACCTTATGGAGATAACTGAGAATTCATTATGCCTCCTGTGGAGAAACATAGTTTCTTTTTCTCTTTTGTTTCTTTCTTCTTGTGTTTTGTTCTTTGAAAACCAGATTTCATTATTGGTCATTGTTTGGGTCTCTGTGTTCTTCAGAGTAGCCACTGTGGTATGCAACCTCAATTTATCTCATCTTAAATTTGCCCCAAATCATCATTAAACGTCAAAATAATCAGCCCACTCACGAGCTTTCTGGTGGGTCAGGTCTGAAGCAGGCCGTCCCAGGTTGGAAATCCCATTAACCCGGGAAACATTAGAAGAGTCCCCTTCTCCCCTTCCCCCCAGCAGTGCCCAGTGGGCAGGTTTCTCCAGGAAGCCACCGCAGCAACTCCATGGGACAATTGCAAAGCCATACAGAACAGCCTCGATGACGTCGCTCAGTCAATACATATTGAGATCTTGACTAAAACTCAGAAATTGCTCAGCAATCAGCATAACTCACACGGGGGTGGGGGTGGGGGGGAAATTAGAAAAAGAAGTTCTGGCTCAAGAGCGTGTGCTTTCAACAGCCCTGACCCTCAGTCTGTTGTTGGCATTGACCATTTCCCTCTATCGTCTTCTCCTTCCCTCCTTCCATTTCTTTCTTCCTTCCTTTCCTGGCTTTCCTTTTCTTCCCTCTCTTCCCGAGAGTCGGCCTGGTGTAGATGGCTTTCTAGTCACACCTGCCTTCAGATCCCAGCTGTGCCGAGTAAGGGGAGGGTAACCATGGATACGGTAATTAAACTCTCAGAGTCCTGCTTTCCCCGCCTTTAAAAGGAGAGAAAACAATTCCTTCTTTATAGGATTGTTGTGAAGACTGAAAGAGAAAATGTGTGTCAAGGACTTAGCACAGTGGCTCAGGAAACGGTCACCCCTCTCCTGACTGTCGCGTCCCACCCGTTTCTGAGGCTCCTTTCATTTCCCTCCCTCTCTCGTCTGGTTCAGCTCTGGAGGGGCACCAGGAGGCACCGCTGGGTTTCCGTGGTGGCTGTCGCGGGTAAAAACGGCCGAGCCTTTCACAGAGGACATGAGATTCAAATAGAGGTCATAGATAGGTACAGATACAGATATAGGTATATTATAGATATAAATGGTTACCTATGCTGCCATAGGTGGTGTTTTTTTTTTCCCCCCTAGGTTGGAGAGAAAAATGTGCCCTGCTTTTCCAATGTACTAATTAAACCTGATGAAGACTGATCTGTTCCCCCTGGGGAACCTGTTAAGGCTCAATTTAGCCGTGTGCAGAGCTACGTCAGCCAACAGGATTGTCACAAAAGTGGTCTGCAGTTCTATCCCTGAAGGACTTTTCAACCTGAAAATATCACTTAACCCAAACGAAAAGGCAGCAAAAGCACAAGGAACAATTCTGTTGCTAATAACAGTCAAGATTCTAACTGATGGCTAGGAGCAGGTGTTCAAGAATAACGCAGTAATATTCATCAGTGAGCACCTTGAAAATCTTTAATGTTATGTGTCCAGGTACAGGCTGATTTTTTAAATGTATGAACTAAAACGTATCAACAAAGATATGATTTAAATCTTCTCATATTTATGTATGATTTAATATATATGTCTACACATACATGTGTATTTATAATTACATATATCTCACATTCTGGCAATTTGATATTCTACTGCATACATTTGGTATAAAATTCTGTAATGTCCCCAGGTTTCCACCAGAGGGGGCTCTGTACAAGCAGTTAATTTAGCAATTAGGTACAGGCTGGGAAAGTCATCTCCAGCTAGAGTTCTTTATCACAAAAGATTAGTGACTTAATCTCCACAAGTAAATTTTGACTGTGATCACAGTTTCTCTTTATTCTCACTCCAGAAATTCTGGATTTGATAGGACAAGAAAAGAAAGAAAGAAAGAAAGAAAGGAAGGAAGGAAGGAAGGAAGGAAGGAAGGAAGGAAGGAAAGAAGGAAAGAAAGAAAGAAACTTTGATCAAGAAAGTATAGTGTCCATTCTTCAGAAATGACTTTAGCTAAACTATATAAAATATATTTAAGTGTGTTCTATTTATTTATTTTTATTAAATAAGTAATACTCACATAGTTCAAAATGGAGACAAGACATATCCTGGGAAGTCTCCCTCTCAATCCCTTTTCCACTCTTTTTTTTTTTGAGACAATTTCACTTTGTTGCACCGGCTAGAGTGCCGTAGTGTCAGCCTAGCTCACAGCAACCTCAAAGTCCTGGGCTCAAGTGATCCTCCTGCCTCAGCCTCCCGAGTAGCTGGGACTACAAGCATGCGCCACCATGCCCGGCTAATTTTTTCTATATATTTTTAGTTGGCCAATTAATTTCTTTCTATTTATAGTAGAGACAGGATCTCGCTCTTGCTCAGGCTGGTTTCGAACTCCTGACCTTGAGCAATCCGCCCGCCTCGGCCTCCCAGCTTTTCCACTCTTTTTGATATGAACTGTATCTATCCACGCTGTTTGTCACCTTGCCTTTCAAGCAAACATAAGCAATATATTTTTGAGGTCATTCTTTATCGGTACATAAAGAACCTTCTCATTCTTATCCACCGCTCCATAGTATTCCATTGTCTGGAGGTATAGTAACTTCATATCTCTCGCCTCCTACTGGTAACCATTTAGTTTTTCCCAGTCTTTGCCATTTCAAAAACGCCACAGTGACTGGGAAGACAAGAGGTGCTTCTTGAGCCTATGAAAGCTCTGCAGAGACAGGCTTTTTTGATAGCCTCTCTTGGCATGATCACGTGGCATGTCAGAAAGGTCCTCCCACTTGACAGACATCTCCACCGCTGAACTTCCTCACAGTTCTCCCTCTGAGCACCCGCTGGGGTGCTATGCTCACGGCCCCCTCCCCTCTCCATTTCTCTCTCATCATTTCTGCACCCCGTTTGCTCCTGGCCTCCCAGCTGTTTGGGGGAATGGTCTCTGCTGCTGTCATTGTCACTTCCCTATTTCCCTGTTACCTCTTTTGATTTGAACCATCCACCTTCGTTGCTCCTGCAGCAGGGTCTTCACCAAAGATGGGTTTGCAGTAGGCACAGCTTCTTTTTTTATTAAAAAAATAAAGGATTTTTTAATGCAAAGGATATAAAAGAAGATGAGCTTCACCTATAATCCCACCACCCAGAAATGTCTGCAGTGTATACTTTGCCACAAAGGTTTTTCATCTTTATATCAAATGTGTGAATATAATTACGTATATGTATAGGTATGTGATCATTTACATCCTCTGCAGATATAATACTGACCCTGCACACTACATTTAACATTTTAAATCTTATAGGCATTTACTCTTGTCATTAAAATTCTCTGTAGATATTTTAATGGTTTGTGTATTTATTTGAATGAACCATAATTCACTTAATTTTTTTTTTTTTTTTTTGAGACAGAGTCTCACTTTGTTACCCAGGCTAGAGTGAGTGCCCTGGTGTCAGCTTTGCTCACAGCAACCTCAAACTCCCAGGGTCAAGCAGTCCTGCTGCCTCAGCCTCCCAAGTAGCTGAGACTACAGGCATGCGACACCATGCTTGGCTAATTTTTTTCTATATATATTTTTAGTTGGCCAATTAATTTCTTTCTATTTATAGTAGAGACAGGGTTTCGCTCATTCTCAAGCTAGTTTCGAACTCCTGACTTTGAGCAATCCGCCCGCCTCAGCCTCCCAGAATGCTAGGATTACAGGTGTGAGCCCACTTAATTTTTTTGTTACATTTTTTAGCTTGTTCCTTTTCTTTCTTTCTTCTTCTTCTTCTTCTTCTTTTTTTTTTTTGTTATAAATAAAGCTGCTATGAACATCTTTGTGAGTATACATTCTTGGCTAAGGCAGGACTCTGCCTGCGAGGTCATTCTTTGCTGCCTTCTTTCTGGGGTTATTTCTCCAAGACCTGTATTTCTTTCTAGGCCCCCCAAATTGCTTTCTTTCATGAACTAGGGAATGTCGCTTTGAAAGTGAACTAGTGTCTCAGGTGTTAAAACTGGATCAGGTTAAAGGGTTAGGGAGTAAACTAACTTTGATTGTGACATACCTGTGCTGGAAGCTTCATATGTATTCGCTCACTTAATTCTCAAAATGATTTTGTGTGAGGTAGTTTCATGTTTTCGTTTTATAGACGAGGAAATTGAGGCTCAGAAAGGATGAGTAACTCGCTCGAGTCACACAGCTAGTAAACAACACAGCCGGGATTTGAATTCAGGCGTGCCTAACCCTAAAGCCCACATCCACTAGATTTTTCAGTCACTAATTTGAATTTTAAAGTAGTTTGATAGTGGCCAAAGCAATGGTGTGCTAGTAAAACAGCTCTCTAGGAAAACAAAGCAACCTTGATTTGTAGTATTTCTAATTCCCATGGCGTAAATACTCCCACCATAACTGATTTGAAACTGTCCATAGTTTAATAATCCACCTAAAAGTTCCTGGATACTTAACAGGCAGTACAAGCTGATATAAGTGGCTCCTTTATAGTACTGGACCAAACATTTAATTACTTATTTTTTAAATTTTTTTATTTTTTGCATCATTTTAAATTTATTTAATTTAGAATAGAGTAGTAAGGCTTAATTGCAAATGTTTAATTACTTATTTACCGAGTGAAATCTGCACTCTGGTTGGTCAACTAACTAAAAATGGTGTTCTCATTTCCAAATTAAGTGAAGCAGCTGTAAACATCTGCAAGTCCTTCTAAAAATCAGATTTCCATGGCATCTTTGAAGTTTTCTAAAGTTCACTTACTGTTAGGCAACCCATCTCCCCTCTATTGAAGCAGATTTTTTTTTTTTTTCATATGTAAGTACCTTGCAGTGTTTGTGACTAACTCTGGGATTCCAGTCTTTCCCCAAGCATAGGAATTAAGATCAAAAGATGGGCTAGTGATAAATCGTTAGGATGTGGTTAAAGACAAAAAGTTAATTCACCGTGTCTGTGCTCTGCAGATTAGACTGTCACCAGAATATGTAATTAGAGCCGCTGCAACATGGTTTCAATCAATGATGGAAATAGGTGGGCCGGAGATATGGGCAGGAATTACTCCGAGGGCTTTCCAGCACGACCAGGGGGGAAACCACTTAAGAAACTCCAAATGATTTTACAGTAACAGAGGAAACTGTTTCCGTTCCCAGCAATGGCTTTAGGAAATCAGCTGGAGCCATCATCCTGTTAAAAAGCCCCCGGCCTGCCGTACCTGAACCAGTGGTGGCTTTGTGTGATGCCTGAGTCACTGCCAAAGCCATCTGTGACCTGTTTAATATGGGTTTTATTCCTCCCAATTAGGGACACGGGACTAAGTAATCACCACAATACAGTGTATCAGTGACTGAGACAGAGGGTCTGGGACGATCTACACGTGTGTGCAGCGGCTTTTTGGTGGCTAGAACAGAGAGTCGAGTGCCATCTTTGGAGATGACTTAGTCTTGGCTGGATGACTGGTCAGGCATGGTCTGGCACGTGGAAGAATCTCCATCCTTGGACTAGGTAGGAGGTATTTCCGCTCTCTTGGTAGTTGACAAAGACTGATGGCTCTTCCATGGTTGCCACTCTCATCCTGATTAGCCACCTTATTAAAGAGGACTACAGGGAACTCTAGTGGGACTTTTGTTTCAAGGGCATTCTCCCAGCCTGTGCTGCTATATTCTCATGGGGTCGGTTGTCATGTATGGATACAAACATGACCTTACTGTTTCTATGGGAGAAGGAATAAATTGCAGTTTGTGTCATCTTCCTTTCCCTACCTGTATCTGAATCTGTGTTTAAACAAAACGAAACCAAACCAAAACAGAACAAAAACCAAAGACTAAAATCCCTCGCTGGTACCACCTAGGGAGTTACATTCGCTCATAAACACTCTGTAATTTGTCTAGGGTTTCTTCTAAATTGACCCAGGACGACGGCAATCTGCTTCCCATCATCTTAAAGGTGTGGCTAATTAGCGTTTGTTCCCTGGAACCCTCTACTCTCCTATTACACTCTCGACCTTGTTTTTTTTTTTTTAAGGAAGTGAAGTCAGGAGAGAGACGTAGGCACTGGCCTGCACACTCCAGGGCTTTATGGAATGCGTTTCCCATTTAGGGGTCCACTTCAGCGCCTACTACGCTGGGGAGCTGAGCTATGGCCTCACCTTGCTTAGTGAATAAATGATTTTTCCTTTTTATTAATGGTCTGCATGTCTTATTCCATAGATCAGAGAAACATTTTGAGAAGTACAGCTCTGTCACGGACTTGATTGCTTTTGTCCAGCCACGAGAAACATTCTCATCTGCTTCCCAAATCCCTTATTAGGGTGAAATCCCCAAATGGACTAATTCCTTCCTCTCTTCGAAAACATTACACGGTGCTAGTAGAAAACACAGAGGGGTGGGTAGGGTGCTTCGACAAAGGGGAACGATCAAAGCCTGATTTCTGCTTGCAAATCGCGTAGTCCGGTTGAAGGGACGTGGAACCATCTGGGGAATGAGGCCGGCTCTGGCTCTTGGCTCCCTGGGCCATCTCCTCATCTGGACGCCAGATACAAGACAGATGTTCTTAGCTACAAACACAGCACCAGACCATTTTCCTCTTGGCTTGCGCTGTCTCTTGAATGCCTGAATGCCAGACAAACTCGTTTTCAGCGTCTTGGTTCAGCTGTAATTCACGGAAGGTATCCCAATCTGGATCGAATGGTTTTTCTTCCCAGCTATGCCTCTGAAACGGGTCCCGTGTTCTCCGTGGCCTTTGGCTGCTGGGCCTGTGGCGGTCTCCGAGCCGCTCTTCCTTTAAGTCACATGTGCAAAGCTGTCGCAGTAGACAGCAGCCACAGACGTCCTTCTTCTCAAGGCCAGAAGAGCCTCAGAGCTGTCTCTCCCTCAGGCCCGTCTTCCAGCCACCACTGCCTCCACACTGAAGTGACCCTTTTAACAAATCCTAGCCTCAAAATCAGGTGGAGAGCACCTCTCGTTTTCATGAGTGTCTCTGAGTAGAATGTGAGTCAGAGTTTTCCAGCAGCAAGAGGGTTTTGTTTTGCAACCACCTCAGACATGGAGAGGTCACTGAAAGTTTGTAATTACCTCGCAAGGAAGCCTCAAATGTGAGGAGGCCTGATTCTAAAGACTTCTAAATTCTAAAGAGGAATGAAGAAGCCCTGCGTGTCTTTTCTGCTAGATTCCTGGCTCCCATGTGCTTTCCCTTTCCTGCTTGCTCCCTCGGAAGCCTCCCCCACCCTACACTTTCCCCATCTGCAACTGGGGAGGGTAACTTTTAAAAGGCAAGCTTGCAAGTTGGTGAGTTCAAATAAAGATCACCTGCTTTAGCATAAATTCTAATACATTAGAGCAGTTCTTCCTTGGCTAACTGGAAAAGCCTACCCTATGGGCCAAAGTTTCCTTTACCGTAATAAAGAGATACATGTATGTGATGGAAGCTATTCTGAATTTTTTCAGAAAATAGTTTTTGGGCCTGTCCCTGTCTGGCTCTCTTTATAGCTTATCATCACCCAGGTAGAGCCCCAGCAGCCAGACCAACCGGAAATTGCCCTTGGGCTCCCCCTGCTGGCCAGATTCCACCCCCAGCTTCCTACCCTCTCCTGCGGCCAGCACCTGGGAGACCCGGCAACGCCCCAGGTGACTCTCACTCCACATTCTTGTTTCTCTGCACAGCCCTTCTCTTCTGGGTAACTCAAAAAATCAGGCTAAAGAAGGAGGGAGGCAGCACAGGCGGCTAGACCCGTGCGATCTCTCTTTGGGGTGGCACATACCATTCCAGAACTGGCCTTCCACCTGGGTTGGGGCGCGGTGCACACATGTCCCTTGCAGCAGCTGCAGTCCTTCTCCGCAGCTGCTGCACTCGTCGTAGCCAAGGCCGGTACAGGTTTTGCAGGCGCGGTGGCAGGGCTCACATTCTCCCATTTCTTGGTCACCATAGAAGCCAGGGCCACATTTTCTCACACAGCTGCCATCTACATGAGAAAACAGAGAGAAAGCATGAAGGCTGAAATCTGGCCAGCCTAGCTTGGTACAATCTGCAAGGCCAAGTTTTTTTTTTTTTATTTGAACAATTTTTGTAGAGACAGGGTCTTGCTATGTTGCCCAGGCTGGTCTTGAACTCCTGGTCTCAAGTGATACTCCCATCTAAGCCTCGCAACGCACTGGGATTACGGGCATGAGCTGCCACACCCAGCCAAGGCTGAGTTCTAAAGAGGCTGAAGAGGTACAATGCACACTATGTGGTTGATAGACATGTTTATAACTGACTCAAACTGTACAAAAGTAATTCATGCAACCAAAGCATTTGTACCTCTGTAATATTCTGAAATTAAAGATAAAATAAAATAAAGAGGTTGAAGAAAGTTTTAGGAACATATTTTGTTAGCATTTGTTTTTAAAGAAACCAAGATCGCTTTAGCTTCCATCAACCCATGAGTGTGTTTTCATAAATCCAACACTTTATCTAAGTCCTCTTTCAACAGAGAATTTATTTAAGTTGGCCATCAGCTTAAAGGGTTAAGAGCACCAAATAAATAACTTTACATCCTTGAGGCCTTAAAATAAATCTCTGTATAGAGAGCCACTGAAGATCGTTGTGAGCTGTCTGTCTCACTCTTTCTCCCGCAAACAGCAGAGAGCACTGGCCTGTTAGTTCTTCGACTGGAAGACTCACAGTGTATTTCTTTCTTAACTATCCATTTCCATCGAACACAATGAGTTGACAGAAACCTCAGACAAAGGATCTTGTTCAACTCTTACATTGCGCAGGAACATGCAACGTGGATGAAGTCTCAAGAAAAAGGTCAGCGTTCTGAATATTCCAGGTGACTTCAATTGCAAAACATTTATCTTCAGCTCCCCTCCCCTCTTCCTGCCCCCTTCTTCATCCGGTTCACTCTTGTTTCCATCGGCTTGGAGATATTTGAGATTAATTAGTGAAATAGGAACTATGCTTCAGTAATAAAAGCAGAAGGAAGTAGTCCTGGCTAACGTCTATTTTCAAACCCAATTTAAATTCCTGCTGGGACCAGAGGTGCCAGTGCAGGAAGACTCCAAATGCAACCGTATGAGCCCCCCATCGCGTGGACCAGGCGGGGCTCCAGGGCTCTGTTCTTGCTTTGCACGGTACCGCTTTCTGGCTCACCCGAGAGAAAGAAGCCCTCTTCACACCAGTAACACTCGTTCTGGTCACAGTTGCCGCAGTTCGTGTCGCATGCTCTGCATTCTGATTCCTCAGGGTAAGTCTTGTCAGGGCAGGTTTTGTAACAGCGGTGTTCAAACCTAGAGGAAGAAGATGTCGTTTCTTCCATGAGATACATTGTATTTCTCTTGACCACCATAATGGTTTTTTATTTTAAATTTAGGGTCTTACTCTCTTGCCCAGGCTGGACCATAGCCCACTGCAACCTCCAACCCCCATAATTTTTAATCTCCATATATATGTCTATGCAGCATTGTTTTTTGTTTGTTCATTTATTTTTTTATTTCTAGGTTATGTATATTGCCTTTGCCCCACCAGAGTCAGAGCTTCAAGTGTGTCCATTCCCCAGACAGTGTGCTATGCAGCATTGTTTTGTTTTGTTTTGTTTTGTTTTTGAGATGGAGTCTCACACTGTCGCCCAGGTTGGAGTGCCATGGCATCAGCCTAGCTCACAGCAACCTCAAACTCCTGGGCTCATGCCATCCTCCTGCCTCAGCCTCCTGAGTAGCTGGCATGACAGGCATGAGCCACTGGCTAGTTCCTTTCTATTTTTAGTAGAGACAGGGTTTCACTCTTGCTGAGGTTTGTCTCGAACTTCTGAGCTCAAGCAATCCTCCTGCCTCAGCCTCCCAGAGTGTTAGGATTACAGGCATGAGCCACCATGCCCAGCCTATGCGGCGTTTTTTTTTTTTTAGCAGGAATAGATAACTGGATTTCAAAGTGGAAAACGTCTTCTTGGTCTATTGTAGCCTTCCCCTCCTCCAACCAAATCATTAACCACCTCCTTCTGGACCTCAGGAGACTTCATCAGGGCAGCTGGGGGAGGGCCGGGGACAAGGAAAGGGGTGGTGACACTCACATGGAGGACTGAGCATGTGCCAAGTATTGGCTCATTTACATCTTTGCACACATACCGTACGGTCGATATTACTTATCTTTAATTTCTAGACAAGGGAACTGAAGCTCAAGGTTAAGTGCTCAAAATCACACGGCTAGTTAAAGGTGGGACTGGGATTTCACCAAAGTCTGCGTGAACAGATTGCTTGTGCGATTTGCCACACGGCAGCTGGCACTTAGGCCTAAGCAGCGCAGTGTTGCAGCTTACCAAAACGTGTGCACACAGATTATTAACAATGGTGGCCCAGTGCCTTTCACTTGAAAATATTCTCACATATATAATCTGTTATTCTCACTCTACAGTAAAATGTTGTCATTCAGACTCCACTGAATTGCAGGCTCGCTTGAAGGTGGAGGGGAACGAAGTCGACCACCGGCTCTTTTTTTTTTTTGAGACAGAGTCTCGCTTTGTTGCCCAGGTAGAGTGAGTGCCATGGCGTCAGCCTAGCTCACAGCAACCTCAAACTCCTGGGCTCAAGCAAATCCTGCTGCCTCAGCCTCCCAAGTAGCTGGGACTATAGGTATGCGCCACCATGCCCGGCTAATTTTTTCTATATATATTAGTTGGCCAATTAATTTCTTTCTATTTATAGTAGAGACGGGGTCTCGCTCTTGCTCAGGTTGGCTTTGAACTCCTGACCTCGAGCAATCCTCCCGCCTCGGCCTCCCAGAGTGCTAGGATTACAGGTGTGAGCCACCGCGCCCGGCCGTCCACTGGCTCTTTGATGAATCTCAAACATCAACAGGATGTCAGGGGAAGACTTTTTTTTGAAGCCTTTCGAAGTTACTAAATATCCTAAGAGATCATAAATGTGTGATTGCTGAACCAAATATCATACGTTTTACCCTCAGTGATAGTGGGACGTATCTGCCAGTGTATTTGTTTCTCAAGGAGTTTTATGAAACAGGCTCATGAGTGAGTCTCAGGGAGCTGGGGAGGCCCACAGGGTTGGCCCCAAAGCTTAACAGAGGATGCTTTCAAGTCACAAGGGAGAAGTTGCAGGTGAGAGGGTATATTCAGGTGTCAAAATGAAGAAGGCGTCCTAGCACTCTGGGAGGCCGAGGCGGTGGATCACTCAAGGTCAGGAGTTCGAAACCAGCTTGAGCAAGAGCGAGACTCCGTCTCTACTAAAAATAGAAAGACATTAATTGGCCAGCTAAAAAATATATAGAAAAAATTAGCTGGGCGTGGTGGTGCATGGCTGTAGTCCCAGCTACTCAGGAGGCTGAGGCAGGAGGATTGCTTGAGGCCAGGAGTTTGAGGTTGCTGTGAGCTAGGCTGATGCCACAGCGCTCTAGCCCAGGCAACAAAGTGACACTGTGACTCAAAAAAAAAATGAAGAAGGGGGCTAGCATGGAGTTAGGCTGCAGAGTTGCAGAGCTGTATGAGGGACAAAGAGGAGAATCCCTCATCCACTTCTGCATAGTCACGACTTTTACATTTGAGTGTACTCTCCTTCCTCGGTTTTTTGAGGAATGTTTTGCACCCGCCACCATGTGACCTCACCAAGGAATGCTTACATTTCCACTGTTCATTTCTGCTTGGGGATCCTGGGGCAGGCCATATGCTGGGTAAATGTCAACTACGAATACACTGACAAATTACTTTCTGCTCATTAAATGTCATCTGGTCTACATTGTAATAATCAAACCTGGGAGCATTTTTGCCACCCCTCCTCCCCTATTTAAATAGAACATTCTCTCTCTCTTTTTTTTTTAGGGGGCGGGTTTTTTTTTTTTCCCCCGGGTTGGGGGGCGTTGTTCCGTTCCCAGTTCCTTGCGGCTTCAATTTCCGAGGCTCAAGTGATCCTCCTGTCTCAGCATCTTGAGTAGCTGGGACTACAGGCATGCACCATCGCACCCAGCTAATCTTTACATTTTTTATAGAGACTGGATCTCACTGTGTTGCTCAGGCTGGTCTATAACTCCTGGTCTCACACAGTCCTCCCTACTCGGCTTCCCAAGTTGCTAGGATTAGAGGCACAAACCTCCGAGTCTGGCCCTAAATGGAACAATAATTTAAATCAGTGGGTCAGGAGTGCAAGGATGTGAGACGCAGTCGATGCAGAGAATAATTAAAACTATGAGGCTAAGTAACGATAGGGGTAACTGATCATTTTTTAATATGTTTCAGCTTGTTGGGCTTCCCTCTCCTTCCCATCCTCCTCACTGCTTTTACCATCTGCTCACTTACTACCACATTTCAAGCCCCTGGAGTTGGATGGAGGGGAAAAGGACTGTGGTGACGGGAGGAAGTGACCCGCCAAAGCTGAGGTGTCCCAGGTTTAGACCTTCCGCTAGCTTGTGGTGCAACGCAAGCAGAACCCAGCAGCTCTCTGAGCTTCAGTTCTGACAATCAGCGTCAAACCTGCGATCCCGACCATCGCAATGGAAAGACGAAAAGAAGAAACGGACGTGAGAGTTTGCATATCCCCAAACTCCTGAGCTCTTAGCATGACAGGGAGGGCTTACGTAGCCTTCGCATTTACCCAGGGCCTTCCTTTCCTTTCTGTCTCCCTTCTTTTCTTAGTTTTTCTTCCAGGGTAGGCAACACTGTATGCTAGAAGGGAGACTAGAATAGGACGGCGAGGTGGTGTTGAAACACGCCATCTTTGATTGTGCAGATTTTTTATCACAGAATGGTGGGGGTGATGGTTTCATTTCTTCATCTCTGTTTCATTTAACCTAGTGGTTTGTGTCTCTCATGGCCCAGGAGATGAGTAAGAGCTAATGTAGCACCTGCTTCATGCTGGAGCATCAGACTCTGGTTAAGAACAAGGTCTCCATGCAGACTTTTAAACACAGCTTACTTGGGGCCAGGTATATTACTAAGGTCTGTCGATAAACAGCAAGATCTGAATCTTGGTAACTCATGGCAAGATTCCTAGACACCCGTGTCAGGCTGGATGACTTCCAGAATCAAGAAAGAGAAGCCTTCCTTTTCGAGGTAAGAAAGCAGCTGGGCTCTTATTGCTAAACCCAACAATTGCTCATTAATAGCCTGACGGGACAGAGTTGCTTCGGGCTGCAGGGGCTCTTTTTGCTTTAATCACTGGGTTGAGGATTAAGTCAGTAATGCTTAAACTGCAGAAAAGTTAGTGCCATGAAAAAAAAAAAAAAAGGCCAGACTTACATGTAATACCCCATAGCACACGATGTACAGGTTCCCGGATCATCTGGAAAAAAAATTATAATGATGAACAATGATAATCACCAAGAATTTGTCATTTGGAAAAATAGACTTTGGAAAAGTCGTGGCTTGAGACAAAAAATACTCTGGCATAGCTTCATGGGATGTACTGTCCAGAAATGATATTTGATCAGATTGTACCGTTTTTAATTAGTAACAAGATGTACACTAGGATTTATCTTTATCAAAGGTAGTAAAATAAAATTTCTCATAAATGCTTGGCCCTGACTCTCAGGAAGGAATAAGCCCAAGCTACTGGCTCTTCAAATTACACATCAACAACCATCTACGTTAAAAACCTCCTGATCTCTACTGAGATAACCACATCAGGCATGTCCTCATGCTCACACACAAACATCTGGAAGGGACTATGAGCTCCTGACTCAATTTCCATGAGTTATCCCAAACGCCTGCTGATGGAAGCATCATTTGGGAGGCTCCTTTGAAATCTGTACTATTATTTTTCCCAAGTATCCACTTCATATTCTGCACTTTGCAACCCTCTTGAAGAAACTGTCCTGTTCTCTCTCTCTTTTTTGAGACAGAGTCTGGCTCTGCTGCTCAGGCGAGAGTGTTGTGGCTTAAGCCTAGCTCACAGCAACCTCAAACTCCTGGGCTCAAGCAATCCTCCTGCCTCAGCCTCCCCAATAGCTGGGACTACAGGTGCAGACCACCACGCCCAGCTAATTTTTCTATTTTTGGTAGAGATGGGATCTGACTCTTGCTCAGGCTGGCTGGAACTCCTGAGCTCAAGCAATCCTCCTGCCTCGGCCCCTCAGAGTGCTAGGATTATAGGTACGAGCCACCGTGCCCAGCCACAAACTGTCCTGATCTCATCAAGAGTAATGATTCAATGTGTTTCTATTGGCTCAGAGAAGGGTCTTTTCCTGCGGCTTTCAGGGGACTTAGAGAGAAAGGATTTTGAGAGTTACCATCACAGTCTGTTTCTCTCCCTCCTAGCACTTCCCAGAAGAAGCAACCTTCAGATCTGATGATTAAGAGAATTTCATGACTTCCTCTGGCCTGCAGTTCTTGCAAGTAACAGTTGCCTCCGGCAGGTTCTTCCGGTGTTCTAGTCTACATACACCCTAGTCCTGTCTTTTTATTTTAATAAGAGATAGAAAACAACTGCTCCTCCTGAAAGCATTCCTCTTGGTACATGAGGGTTTTATTTCACCTTTAACTTTATCTAAGCAAAACTATGTCCCCTAAGCTTTATTCATTACTTTCTTTTCTGATCTGGTCTGGGCTCTATTCTGGCTTTCTCAATGACTACCTCTTGGGGGGTAGAGACAACCCCACTCAAATCTTTAGTCACACATTTATCTTGGGTCCTCCCAGGGATTTTGGAAGATGACACTGTACTACACATAGTATGATCAATGCATTGCACCCAAAATGACAGCAGGTAAATTTCTAGAAGAGTCTCTGCCAATTAAACAGAGATCCTCAGAACCTTCTGGAAATAGCCTGGTGACAATGCCATGGAATGGGAGCTGGCCTGGGAATTCGGCTACCTGTCCCTAGTTTGAAGTTTAAACTCAGGCTTAACTGTCTTGTGAACTTGCACAAATGTCACTCTACTTTCTGGGTCCTGGTTTCTGCAGGGCTAAAATGAGCTGGTTGGACAACATAGCTGTTAAGACTTCCCAGAAGTCAAAGATTCTGAAGTTGAGTCTAGCAGGAGTTGGCAAACTATGGCCAACCCTGGGGCCAACTCCAGCCTTGCCCATTCAGGTGCATGTATTGTGCATGAATGCCTTCACGCTACAGCACCAGAGTTGAGTAATTGCAAGAAAATCTGAAAATACTTACTATCTGCCACTGCACAGAAAAAGTTTGCCGATGCCTGGCTATAGCACCGTCAGCTCATGACTTTGTCATGCTCGCTTTTGTTAGGTAACACAGGTGTAAATGTAATTGTCTTTACAGCTGCTTCCAGAGTTTCTCTTAGGGCGAGAACCGTCTATATTTAGGAAAATACCTTGTTAAGCTGCTTGGGGTAGAAGTTTAATTGGAAGAGTTGAAAGAGAGCCAAGACAACCAAAGAGATAGAAAGGCCTTTTTACAGGAGGCTGTGATTTGCTCATGGGAAGGAAATGGTTTTTCATGTCTGGGTCAACGTGGTTTGTAATAAGGTGACTAAAACAGGACAGCAAAATGAACCAAAAAGCCAGGCTAATTAAGTGGAACTAGGAATCTGAAGCCAGAGGTGCCCATGAGAAAGAAAACATCCCTGGAATTCTTAGAAATCTTGGAGAGGGATTTGTACTTCCATAACCCACAGATTGAGGATCTGAATCCATTGCAAGGGGTTGCAGGGACCCCAATGAACACCAGTGGTTCCACTGGGCTAGTTTGTTTCTCACTATGAGTCTAATTTTGCATCTATATTCTTTTCAGTTCTTCTGCTAAAAAAACCTCCTATTACTTTGCTTGCATTTGGGCAGCTTACTTTTCTCTGCCTGTCCCTGATGAACATATCTGATGCTAACAATTTTGCTAATTTGGCAAGAGGCTGGGGAAATTCTAATCCTGTTCTCTAATGTTCTGGTCATCCCTCCCATCTAGGAACTTAATGAGCTTGCTCTCCGCTCCTTTAAGCAGGTCACTGATGAAAATGTTAAGTAGAAATGTGCATACCAACGTCATCTTGAGATCAGGGGCTTTTCCAGCCCATTTGCACAGTGAACCTGGTACCTTTGCAACAGTTTGCATAAATGAATAATGCATAGAATAGGAACTGTGTCTTAAAACAGCTTATGAATGCCCATTAGTTTTTCTCATTATTACCAGTTCGAAAGGATGAGAATTATTTAAAAAAAAAAAGTTTCCGCCTCAGAAGATCCACAAGTCAGACATAAGCTAAATGGATTTAGCTTGACCACTGAGTGGCTGCAGTTATGGGATTAAGGAAGAAGGTAACAATCCCAAACCTAGAAGTTGACCCTAAGTCAACGTGGCGTGTAGATGGTGAGAAGGGGTGACGTAAGGAGACAGATGACATTTCCTGGCTTCTGGTGCGTGTGCCGTGGGAGGTGGTAGGGCGGGGAGTCTAAACAAGCTCCAGTTGTTAACTGTCTTGGAAGGTGTTATCCAAAGTCGGATGTTTAAATAGCTTTGGTTATTTGGTCTTGTCAAACTTTTGAGCTGAGAGAGCATATTCTGAGGGGAGACGGGGCAAGTTCAGTCAGAATTCAGAGGGAGCCTCACATTTGGAATAAAGCCTTCAGAAACAGTTGTTGGCTTCCAGCTGCTCACATCCCTGCTAAGGAGAAGGTGCGAGCAGATGCCTTGTCAAGACGGGGCTACAGCCTTCCTGTACTGGGAAAACTCATTGTTAGTGTCTCATTTTTATGGGGCGGGCTGGGCAGGGCTACAATGTCTCCTGTGTCTTGCGGGCTCTCCATGATCCTGTGTCATCTTCTCACTGTGTCCTCAGGATCATCTGCATTGGAACTGGTCACCAATTCACTGTCCCATGGGGACACCCCTGCTGTCATCCCCACCTTCGTGGCCAGCTTACATTTCACTTTGTTCCCACTCGTACCTACAGCCTTCACCATTGAATATGGATGGACAAAGGCCACAGGAGGAGGTAGCACATATTACCTATGAAATGTGTGGGAAAGGGGATAATTTAAACTTCAGATGAAACAGAACATTTTCAAATGTCCAGAGACGAAGAATTTATTTTTATGGTTTACATAAATTTTGTGTCCCATAATTAAGCTAAAAAGCCTCTAATTTGCTTTTTCTAATTGTATTGTTCATCTTGCATGTTGATTTTCATTTGGGGGAGACAGAAGAAACTCTGTGCCTTAAAGATAGCCTTTTACCATAGAATATCTAAATATGCCAGAATTAGCCACAGATTAGATATTCATAGACTTACAGTCCTAACTACTCTCCAAGTTTCATCAACAACAGAAATCTGAAGTAGTAAATAAGCTACATACTCTTTTGATTGATCACCCCGTTGGCTTAAAAATTAGCATGTACCCACAATGCATGTGTGTCTATAAATTATTTATTAGTTATTTCTATTTATTATATACTAGTACATGAATATTTTGTATGTATTAAAAAGATGTGCTAAAGTAGAAAATTTAAGAGAATAACTTAAAATAAATGTGAACATAAGTTCTATTTTTTTTTTTTTTGTAGCCCAATGGATTGTTTTTTATATTCTCTTTGGAGACCAGTGACCCAGGCCACACCTGACCAAATGCCACATCTGAGCTAATTAATTCATATTTAACCTTGCAAAAACATGTTTTACACTTGGTTACTTAAGATTATAATGGAAAAGAATGGCTCTCTGATGGGGTCACTCATCTGCATGTATATGAAGACGTTGTGTACGCATGTGTAGAATGTGTTATGATCAAGTCAGGGTATTTGGGGTATCCATCACCTTGAGTATTTATCATTTTTATGTCTTGGTAACTAACTTTTAACTGTTATACTTTAAAATATACAATATATTGTGCTAACTATACTTGCCATACTCTGCTATCACACATTAGAACTTTTCTTAGAACTTCTATGTATGATTCTAATTAACTTGTTCACCTAGTATTTTGAGTTAGGAGATAAGTGGAAATAAAGATATGGCTGGGAGTGGTGGTTCACACCTGCAATCCGAGCACTTTAGAGGCCAAGAAATAGCAAGATCCAATTTCTACAAAAATTAAAAAAGAAAAATTTGCCAGGTATGATGATGCATGCCTGTAGTCCCAGCTCTCTAGAGGCTCAGGCAGGATGTTCACTTGAGGCCAGGTGTTTGAGGCTGCAGTGAGGTATGATGACACCACTGTAATCAAGCAATAGAATGAGACACGGTCTCTTTCTCTCTCTCTTTTTTTTTTTGAAACAGAGCCTCATTCTGTTGCCCAGGTGAGTGCCGTAGCATCAGCCTAATTCACAGCAACCTCAAACTCCTGGGCTCAGGCGATCCTCCTGCCTCAGCCTCCCGAGTAGCTG